AATATGGATGCCTACTCGATTCAGGAGTTCTATGGTATTAAATTCTATGTCATTAATTCAGGATAGCAGAGTATGTGCGAGAACCAAGCAGCATTTTACCCTTGCTTGCAGACAGAGAGCAATTGTCTGTGAGCTAAGGTTTTGAGACCAGCCAAAGGGATACTCAGGCTCATTTCAGGTCATACTGGAACAGTTCTTTGGCCCCTATGTCAATATGGAACAAGGAGCTGAGGAGATGGCCCAGTGGTTTAGAGCACTTGTTGCTCTTGCAGAGGATCCAGGTTTGGTTCCTAACACCCACATGGTAGCTCACCATGATCCATAACTCCAGTTCTAGAGGATCTGATGCTCTCTGAGGGCACCAAACATGCATGTGGTATATATACATACATACAGGCAAACACTTACACATTAAATGAATAGATCTAAATGTTTTAAGAATATAGAACAAGTATATGTTACAAATGGAGTTATTGGAAACAAATTAGAAAATAACTTACTATAATTTACTATAAATAGTCAAGCTGAACATAACTTACATACCCTGTAACCCAGCTTCAACCTTTGTATTTATACCCTGGGAAACCTTTAAATATGCTCCAAGAAAATTACAACAGTTGAGTATTTAAATTTTGCTACATTCATAAAATGGAATATTATGAGTACAAACAAAAAGTTGCTGCATGAAACATTATGAATCAATTTTAAAGTTAGTACTGAGCAAATATAAAAGACAGAGCTGGGTATAGTGGTGCATCCCTTTAATCCCAGTACTCAGGAAGCAGAAGCAAGTGGATCTCTCTGAGTTCCAGGACCGCCTGTCAGGGCTATGTAGAGAGACACTGTCTCAAAAATAGATAGATAGATAGATAGATAGATAGATAGATAGATAGTTGGATAGATAGACACACAGATAGATAAAAACAAAAAATGAATACATAAGTTTCGAATTTAAAAAATAGACAAGGCACTGGGTGTTGGTGGCACACGCCTTTAATCCCAGCACTCAGGAGGCAGAGGCAGGTGGATCTCTGTGAGTTCGAGGCCAGCCTGGTCTACAAAGTGAGTTCCAGGACAGCCTCCAAAGCCACAGAGAAACCCTGTCTCGAAAAACCAAAAAAAAAAAAAAATAGACAAGGCAGCAGAGTGGTAGTTATGTGCCCCTTTAATCCCAGGTAGGGGCAGGCAGATCTCTGTGAGTTCCAGGCCAACCTGGTCTACACAGTGAATTCCAAAACAATCAGAGCTCCACAGAAAAACCTGTCTTGGGAAAAAAAATAGACAAGGCCAGGAATGGTGACATATACCTTTAATTCCATGATGCAGAGGCAGGAAGACCTCTGTGAGCCTTTTCAGTACAAGTTGCAAACCAGTCAGGACTACATAGTAAGACCCTCTCTCAAAAAAATAAAAATAAAAATAAATAACAAATAAGAAGCAAAATCTGAATGAATGAGAACAAAGTTTGACAATTCATATATATGAAGGTTGCCACAAAGGTTCTCCATTGCTTTTGATTCCAGCCTAAAAATTTTAAACAATTATGTATTGATTTTTGGGGGGGATTTCATACCATGCACCCCAATCCCACTCATTTCCAAGTCCTTCCATGCTTTCCCTCCACCCTTGTAACCTACCCCCTGCCAAAAAAAATTTTAAATCTATGAGTTGTTTGATCATATGAAGGGGAAGGTCCTGTGGAACCAAAGGATCTCGACGACTCAGGGAAACTATAGAACTTTAGAAGAGTGTCAGTGAGTGTCCAGCATTGATGATGTAGCAGAAGCCAGAGGCTTTGAACCAGACCAAGAACTCATTGCAATGAACATTTGCAAGTAAAGCTGTTTGGGCAAAAGGGTATACTTCATGACCAATCTGAATTTAATAAGACATTATTTTTAAAACAAGCAAAACTCATTGGCAATGGTGACATATACCTTTAATTCCAGCACTTGGGAGGCAAAGGCAGGCAGAGCTCTGTGAATTTGAGGCCAGCCTGGATTACTGAGTGAGTTCTAGGACAGCCAGGACTAGACAGAGAAATCTTGTCTCAAAAAACCAAAAGTGGGGGAAAAAAAGGCAAAACTCATTTGTGGTAACAAGAATTAAATAATAGTTATCCCCAAGCTGGGTATGGTAGCTTATCCCTATAATCCTAGCACTGGGGAGACTGAGGAAAGACTGTCACAAGTTCAAATTTGACCCTGTCTCAACAAAAAGATCAATCAATTAATTAATTTAAAAGACTGATGAGATGCCTCAACAGGTCAAGGTGATTACTGCTGAGCCTAGCAACCTCAGTTCATTCCCAGAATACACATGGTAGAAGGACTGAAGTAATGAAGGCCAAAGAGGTTAAGGAACTTCCTTGAAATAATTCCATCACTTTTTAAAAGGCATCCTGGCTTCTGGTCAAGGGTTCCTCTTCCAGACCCTCTGACTGTTCATTCCTTCTTGCCTACCCACTTTCAGAGGTCAGAACTGAACACATCATCTCTACCACTACATATTTTGTCTTAATTTTAGTTTTGTGTTTCTGCTCCATGCTTCAACATTCAATTTGACTTCAGGGCATCCATCAATAGGTTCAGTACCTAGTACTTACACACACATACACACAGACACATACACACACACTCACACTCTCACACACACAGAGAGAGAGACACACACAAAGAGAAAATCTCCAAGAATTTATAAAAGAAAATTGCAATTTCATTTTTAGCCATGCATGAGATTGCTTTTGAGAAAAATTAGACTTTCTTCTTTGGTGACACAGGGTGAGAAATGAGATTTCAGATCCATTCCTACCTTTGCTGCAAGGTGGCAGCACTGTTCCATGGCAGCCACAAAAGTTTTTAAACAGAATAGCAGAGAATGTATCAACACCACAAGGGAAAAAGAATCATGTGATCATAGTAAGAGAATGGTCAAGAAAAATCATGAAAACCCAGGAAAGCAACAGAACCCTTAATTCTGTTCTCCTGCATTGAAAGAACCAAGCAACTGAAGTAGAGGAAGAGGAGCAGGCCCAGGGGAGATTTGCTGCTGAGTTGGTGCCCAGGGCTTCCTTTGTCCCTTCCCTATTTTAGCCAACAAAATGTCCTTCAGGGATCTCCCTTCCAATAATGTTTCCCACCAAGACTTTGAAGCTCAGTTTGGCCAGATTTCAAGTGTATTAATGTATCAGGTCACAGGATGCTACTTAAACCATAATTTGATTAAAGTATCACAAAGCCTCTTATGGAAAGTCCTTTGAATCAACTCTTTATGTGATTCTCAAGCAAGAGTTTCAGCCTCCAGAACCTTCTCATGTATAGCTAAGCTCATGTTGGCTTCAATGAAGCATGTTTACAGCTGGTAGGGAGGCTGCAAAGGCTCTGGACATCAACAAATATCTAATTAGATGTTTTCTTCTTTATGAGCTCACCTAGCTATGCTATCAAGAAGTCTTTATAGTCAGGCACAGTGGTACACACCTGTAATCTCTGTTCTTGGAGCAGACACCCACAGCTAAACATTGAGCTGAACTCCTGGAATCCAGTTGCAGAGAGGGAGGAGTGATGAACAAAGGGGTCAAGACCACGCTAGTGAAACCCACAGAAACAGCTGACCTGAACATGGGGGAGCTCATGGACCCCAGACTAATAGCTGGGAAACCAGCATAGGACTGATCCAGATTCCCTGAATGTGGGTGTCAGTTAGGAGGCCTCGGCAATCTATGGGGCCTCTGGTAGTATATCAGTATTTATCTCTAGCATACAAATGGACTTTGGGAGCCCACTCCACATAGATGGATACTCTCTCAGCCTAGACACACAGGGGAGGGCCTAGGCCCTACTCCAAATGATATGACAGACTTTGAAGATCCCCCATGGAAGGCCTCACCCTCCCTGAGGAATAGAAAGGGGATAGGAGGCTAGTGGGCTAGGGGGCAGGGGAGGAGGGAAGGAAGAGGGAACTGGGATTGACATGTAAAACAAGTTTGTTTCTAATTTAAGTTTAAAAAATAGAAATAGAAAAAAAATCTGTTCTTGGGAGACAGAAGCAAGGCCAGCTGGGACACAGAATGAGTTTCAAGAAAGTCTGGGCTATATGGGAAGACCTCCTCTTTTAAAAAAAAGTCTTTAAAACATAATACTAATTATATAGTCTTTGCTGAAAAATAGAATTTTGGGTGGAAAATTCAATAGCAGCTACTCTCAACTGCAGACAGTATCACTCATGCACCGTATGTAGAGCTCCTTCACATAACTTCTTGACCCAGTAGTTATAAGAAAGTCATTTTAACTGTACTCATTCCATTATACATGAGAGGGAAAATATGCATAGTTCCATAGGTATGCCTATGCCCTTGTGAACTTACGGTCATAACTGTAAATAAATTCCAGAGATCTTTTGGTTCTCAGTTTATACAAGGGAAAAACTGAAATCCCGAGTATCCAAGTAATTTCCCCAAGGTGGCAAAACAGACTTGAACTTGAACTCAGTTCTACTGATTCCTGAAGTCCAGTGTTCTCCCCAGCATAAGGCACTGACTCGTTCAGCCCTAATTTCTTCCTCTTTCATAGAAATTTACCTCTTAATTGGCATCTCGGTATCTCTTAATGTTGGTCTACATATCAATGTGCCTCCATCAGAGAGCACACCTGTGAATGAGTACGTGTCTATTTGCAAGTATTTATAAAGCATATCTTGGGGTGGTTATGCCCTTTCTTCTAGGGAAAGCTCTAGATAATGACAGTTCTCAAAGTTGGCATCAGCAGTAAAGTCGGGGCAGACCTTCAAAGTCAATGATTAATAAGCAGATTTGGCTCTTTCTCCAATCAACTGTTTTCCTGGGTCTTTGGGAAACAAGGCAAAATCGTCAGGGTAGAACCAGATAGTCACAGTGAAACTTGGTTCCAGGACAGTAAAAGCAACCAAGAGGCAAGGCTGTAAGCAGCTATGACGGAGTAACAGTGGGCCGTAGGCAATACGTGCTTATGAGCTCAGGTTGCATGGATATCATCTTAGTCTTCAGTTTAATCATTGCATCCTATGACTCCAACAAGAATGGTAAGTACTTCTCTAGCCTAATAGGTTGGAACACCCAAAAGGTAGCCTAGAAAACAATTGGAGCCTCTTCCATCAGATAGGGATATAGCCAATACCCAACATGTTGCACTTGGCAGAAATTATCCCATACATTTGATCATTAAGCCCAAGGAGGCCGGGCGTTGGTGGCGCACGCCTTTAATCCCAGCACTCGGGAGGCAGAGGCAGGCGGATCTCTGTGAGTTCGAGACCAGGCTGGACTACCAAGCGAGTTCCAGGACAGCCTCCAAAGCCACAGAGAAACCCTGTCTCGAAAAAACCAAAAAAAAAAAAAAAAAAAAAAAAAAAAAGCCCAAGGAGACATCTGTTGTGTGCTAAGTCTTTGGGAAATGTGGAGGCTTTTTTCCCTGACATGGTTGGTGAGCTTTCGTTGTGAGATGGTACCAGTTTTGTAATTAGCACTTTGGGCTCTCAGATTCATAACCCCTCATAAGATGTTGCTTTCATTTTTAAGGTGATACACTCAAATAGTTTAAACGGATATGTTATGTTAGTGGGGGAAGAGTTAAGGGAAAGGGGATATGGGGGTGGAATGGCACTGCTTGTTACTCTTTGGTAATTGTTGATTAACTTGAGTTTTTTTGTTTTGTACTGAGGCTTGAAAGCCAGCTTCAGGATGCTTTCAAGTGCTCGGCCACTGACTGAGCTCTGACCCCAACCCTGATAGTAAATGTTTATTTAAAATATGAGTTTCCTAAACATTTCTACTCTAAAATAGCTAGCTGGAGGTTAAAGCAAAATAGTATAAGGTGTAGCAGTACCATGCCTATGTAAATTAAGAAAATTAACACCTGTGACCAAAGCTCATGAAATATGGAAGCAGGAGAATTGCCATCAGAAAAGAGTCAGTCTGGACTACAGAGTGAGATATCTCCCCCCTCCTCTTATTGCGGCTGAAGCTAGATGTGGTAGAGAATGCTTTATAAATTTTCTTATTGGTCTGCATGTATGTCTGTGTACCCCATGTGTTTGGTGCCATTGGGGGGAGGGAAAAAGCACCAGATGCCCTGGAAGTGAAGTTAGGAATAGCTGGGAACCACCATGTAGGAGCTGGGAATTAAACTCTTGTCCTCTGCAAGAGCAGCTAGTCCCCTTAACTACTGAGCCAGTCCTCTAGCTAGTAGAGGATGCTTTTAATCTCAGCACTTGGAAGGCAGAGGCAAGTAGCTCTCTGAATTCAAGGCCAGCCTGGTCCACATAGCTAGTTCCAGGACAGCTAGAGCTACATAGTGAGACCCTAACTTAAAAAGAAAAGAAAAGCTGAGAAAGAAATTCCGACAGCCTGTGAGTCATGTACTACAAAAGCATAAATGTGGTCTATAACTCTGTGAAAATCTATAAAGAGCCTATATCCAAGGGAGGACATAATAAACCTTCAAGGTTCTCTCCTTTTTTTTTTTAAAGATTTATTTATTATGAACACAACACCCTGCCCCCATGTACGTCTACACACCAGCAGAGGGCACCAGATCTCATTACAGATGGTTGTGAGCCACCATGTGGTTGCTGGGAATTGAATTCATGACCTCTGGAAGAGCAGTCAGTGCTCTTAACCTCTGAGCCATCTCTCCAGCCCCCAAGATTCTCTCCTTAATACAGTAAGCAGAAGTTGATTAGTGGTGGTAGGTGAATCTCTGAATTCAAGGCTATCCTGATCTACAGAGCCAGTTCCAGGACAGCCAGGACTACACATAGAAACCCTGTCTTGATCTATATAGTATATAGTATATAGAATATGTCAGGAAGATAGAACAGGAGTGAGCAGAGAAAATAAACTGTTTAAAGAGAATAGGTGTTATTTTTTCAACTTAGTAATCACATCTCTCACTTTTCTTTCAGAAAGAATACATTGGTAGTCAGTTTTCTTTGTGATGGGGCAATTCCTACTTAAATGTAGTTGGTCATGTGTTTTAAAATCTCTTTTAGGGAGTATTTGATCTCTACAGTTCTAAGTTTTTTAGGCAGGGACTTTATCTCTTCCCCATCTCAGAATTCTAAACAGAGAGGACACAGTACATCCTGACCCCTTTTTTTTCCTTTGTAGACCCCAGAGAGAGCAGCTGCCAAGTGGAACAGCTGCCCAGCCTCTTCCCAAAGGATGTGAGAAGTCATAAGGATTTGGTGATAAGAGGTAGGAAATGGAGACCTTTTTGGAAAATCCCTTTGCCATCCCAGGATTTTCTTTTTAACCTTTAAAAAAATGCCTTTTGGAGGCTGGAGCAGTGGCTCAGCAGCTAAGAGTACTAGAGGACCCAGGTTCAATTCCCAGCACCCACATGGCAGCTCACAGATGTCTGTAACTTCATTTCCAGGGGATATGTATATGCATGCAGGCAAAATACCCATGCACATGAAATAAAATAAAAATTTAAAATGCCTATTCTCTACACTTCTTAGTCCAGATCTCAAATATACTTTCTTAAAGATACACATCTCCTCAGGAGAATGTCTGAAAATAAATTTCTATATTGACTTATTGCCTAAAGTATGACTGTATAAATCGGGTTGGGATGAAAAAAGAGAAGGAATGACACCCAGCCCTCCCCCCATTTAAGAAAACGTTCTATGAGCATTTCTCTGTGCTGGATTTACTGCAGTCACTTATCTTCATGGCTCCTTGCAGGAAGAAAAGCAGAACCTGCTTGGTTACTACCATAAACACAGATTACAGATTGGGGAGGAGCTGAACCAGAGGAGGGCAAAGTGCAGCCACGGAGTTGAACAGGCATCATGAATGAAAGTGGGTTATCTGCGCACTATGTGACTAAGAACCAGCTTTGTTTTTCTGTTTAGTTCTCCCAGAAATTCACACAGACATCAAAGGGGCCCCGTCCATCCAACATCAGACTATAGCTACCCTGCAGTGCCTCTGCTCTAGGAGGAGACTGAGAGTCTACCTTGTACATTCAGAGAGAAGGCCAAAGGTTGAGTATATACTGAAGAACCTGAGAGTCTATGCTGATCTCCATAGAAACAGTATGGCCTCCCCACGCTGTCACCTCATGCCCACTTCCCAGTTTCAGAATGGATCCCTTCTAACAGGTAAAGTGAGATCAAAGATCTGATAGAGGTAGGTTGACACTTTCAGGTGACATCCTTGGTGGCCAGTGTTTATCAGCAGCCAAAGTCACAGTGAAACATACTGTTCTCCCCTTGGGAAAAATCAGTGTCCTCTCTGATTTCTAATTTCTTTAACAATAATTTAAATTTTATTTATATGTTTATTTATTTAGTGGGTGTGCATGCACACACATGTGCGGGCATGGACTTGTATGGAAGTTAGAGGACAACTGAAGACACCTTCGGCAGTCAGACCAAATAGGTTTGGTGGCAAATCCCTGATCCACTTCAGTGACCCAAGCCCCACATTTCTAATTTCTAAGACTCCTTTTAGTCCTACTGTCCTATGATATTCATAAAATCTGAAAAACTTTTGAGCCAGGCAGTGGCGCACGCCTTTAATCCCAGCACTTGGGAGGCAGAGGCAGGCGGATCTCTGTGAGTTCGAGGCCAGCCTGGTCTACAAGAGCTAGTTCCAGGACAGCCTCCAAAGCCACAGAGAAACCCTGTCTCGAAAAAAAAAAAAAACCAAAAACAAAAGACAAAAAAAAAAAAAAAAAGAATAGTTAGAACTATAGCTGAGGAGCTGGAGAGATGGCTCAGAGGTTAAGAGCCCTGGCTGCTCTTCCAGAGGTCCTGAGTTCAATTCCTAGCAAATACACAGTGGCTCCCAACCATCTATAATGAGATCTGGTTCCCTTTTCTGGCAGAACACTTTATGCATAATAAATATTTTAAAAAAGAACTATAGCTGAACAAAATAAAAAAAAACTATTTTGTGAATTTCATTTACTTTAGTGCACACAGTGAAATATACAAACAGCACATATTTATAGTGAAAAGTAATCCTCTCTCCTACTCCTGTCTCTCAGTCCTCCAGTTCTCTGTCTCTGAGGATAGAAGGAACCACTATTACCTACTGTATTTCCTTCCAAAGACAGCACCAATAGGTGTGCATATATCTCCCCACCTCATATTACTCAGGATGGCCTCTAGCTTGCTGTATACCTAGGGCTAGCCTTGAACTCCTGAAACTCCTCCCTCTACCCCTCAAGTGCTGTAATTACAGGAATGAGATGCCATACCCAGCTCATTTGCATATGTTCAAAGCATAGGCAGTACCACACCACACATTCTGCTCCTCACCTTGGTTTTCCACAGGCATGGGTTTGTCCCATGTCCATAATCCATAAATTTGACTCCTGTGTTGTGTGTTGTAGAATACTGAATCCAAGGCCTTGAACATGCTAAGTACATGTCCTACTTCTGAGCATATTATGTCACCAGCCCTACCTCATTCTTCTTCACGGTATTCTGCTAAATTGCAATTTATTTCCCTAGTTCTCCACTGATAGGAATTTGGGTTATTTCCATTCTTTTACTAATACAACAATGACCTTCTACAGTCCTCTTATGTATCTGCTACTTATCAAGAAAATGAATTCCAAGAAGCAGAACGGCCACACTGACAGCACATATCTGGTGCTCATTTACCCCCACACAGGTGGTTCCAATTTCCATTCCTATCTACACTGTGTGAAACTACTTGTTCCCCAACAGCAGCAGTTCTTGATCTCAACGTCTGCCATCCTTTTCTTCTCTTACACATTCTGTCAAATAGTTTCTGATCAGTAGATTAGCATACAGCTCTCCCTTTACACAAGGCAGTCGTTTAGACTCTGCTAGACTATTGGAAAATAACACTCAATGCTTGGAGAAACCAGGATGTAGAAGGATCACAAGCAGAATGACATAGAAATAAACTTTCTGGGGCTGGGGAGATGGCTCAGAGGTTAAGAGCACTGACTGCCCTTCCAGAGGACCGGAGTTCAATTCCCGGCAATCACATGGTGGCTCACAACCATCTGTAATGAGGTCTGGCGCCCTCTTCTGGCATGCAGATATGAATGCAGGCAGAATACTGTATACATAATAAATAAATCTTTAAAAAAAAAACAGAAATAAACTTTCTGTGTGTAGGTAGCCCTGGCAGTCCAGGAACTAGCTCTGTAGCTCAGGCTGGTCTCAAACTCACAGAGATAACTTTTACAACCTAGACTAGAGATCAAGAAATAAGGGGGCAAACATTCTTTTAGGATAAGGCGCAAGAACAGTAAATTATTTATTCCTATATTACTTGGATGTTTCAGTCACTTTATTAGAATTTTTAAAATTCTACCACTAAAAGTCAGGCATGGTGGGGTACACCTGTAATCCCATTATACAACTGGACTATGAGGTCCTGTTTCAAAAAGAAAGGAAGGAAGGAAGGAAGACTAACTGACTAATTAATCCCATCATAAAACATATTGATTTTGAAGACAGCTTGGGCTATATGAGGTCCTGGGAAAGAGGGGGGGAGGGAGAGAGGGAGAGAGAGGGAGAGAGGGGGAGATTAATCATTTAATTAAACTCTACCACTGGGAGGGCTCTTAAAACTGGAAACTCAATATCAATTCATTTGGACCTTTTGCTCTTATCATGTGACACCCTGCTTTAACCAAACACAGTATGGCCTTAAGTCATTTTACAGTCTGCAGTTCTCTGAGTGGTACTATGTCATGCCATGCACCGTGGGACCTCAGGTCAATAAGGACATTAGCTGTCAGAAATTCTGAACCAGGAAAGTTGTCAAAGATCAGCCTGCCCTATTGAAAATGTTTGCCTTGGTGTGACCTCTGGGCTTTGAGCTCTTTCCAAGAGGAAGAGTCTTCCTCCTTCTCCTGGATGCTTGCTCAAGGCAAAGGTTCTGAGATCCAGAATCTGAGGCAGCACCCTATACGATCTGAGTCATGTAAAGAGACCAAATAGATATCTGTAGGTTAGTTTGGGTCCTAATCACAATTCATTATACAGTTCTATGAAACCACAATCCCAACCATCTTATAAATGGACTTCTGAAAGGAACTTATTTTCAGTGTTTGGAGATACCTGTTCTGAATTTATTTATTTATTTATTTATTTATTTTGGGTATTTTTTTTTCCGAGACAGGATTTCTCTGTAGCTTTGGAGGCTGTCCTGAACTCACTTTGTAGACCAGGCTGGCCTCGAACTCACAGAGATCCGCCTGCCTCTGCCTCCCGAGTGCTGGGATTAAAGGTGTGCGCCACCAACGCCCGGCTACCTGTTCTGAATTTAAACCACATTAAATCACAAAGTTGTGACAGATCTCAAATAGGTTAGAAATAAAAACTAGGAAAATGGTCAGAATTAGATGGTCACAGGAGACATGCACTCTGAAGTTACCACTCTGGCTTATGTCAGTCTGCAGAGGAAGGTGTCTAAAACATAGTTAAATGACATTAATCAAAATATCCTCAAAGTAAAGTAAGAATGTAGAATTTTAAGGATGAGAGCTTTCTACAACACAGTTGGTCTTCACAAGACATGGACCAAACATAAAATGTAGGAAAAATTTTAAGACAGTGGCTGAGGATATAGCCTAAGTTGCTTTTCTCATAGCAACATAAAGGGAACTGGTGCAATCAGTTAACATTACAGTTTCTATTTCCTGTACCTATTGCTCAGATTTTCTATTTAGAAGCTTTCCAAGTTACCTATCAGGTTTCCTAGAAACCTATCTGTTTTTTAAAGGACACAAGAATGTTTGATTTTGTTTTGTCTTTTCGAGACTGGCTTTCAGGTACCCAACTCACTATGTATTTGAGGATAAGCCTGAACTTGAGTACCAAGATTACAAGTGTGCCTAACCACCCACAGCTGTTTCATCCATTTGATACATGTTTTTTGAAACAGTATCACTGTATAGCCTTGGCTGGCTTGGAACTCACTTCCAAGTTTGACCAAGCTGGACTCAAATTTACAGAGATCCACTTCTGCCTTCAAATGCTAGGATTAAAGGTGTGTCCAACCACATCTGGCCAGTATTTTCTTCTTGTGTGTGACTTTTTCTTCTTTTGGTTTTTTGAGCCTTATGTAACCATGGCTGTCCTGGAGCTAACTATGTATACTAGGCTGCCCTCAAAGTCAGAGATTGACCTGGAAATGACACCTCTATTAAATATAATGTATATTTATTTATTATATGGTGTACTGCTTGCATGTGTGCCTGCACTACACAGCAAAAGAGGGCACCAGATATCATTATAGATGGTTGTGAGCCACCATGTAGTTGCTGGGAATTGAACTCAGGACCTCTTCAAGTGCTCTTAACCACTGAGCTATCTCTCCAACCCCTAAATATAACATGTTCATCTAGACTTGGTGGTATATGCTGCAATCCCAGTACTTGGAAAGCAAAGGCAGGTGGACAGGAAGTTTGAAAACAGCCTAGATATATAATAAAACACTCTCTCAGAAAAAAAATAATAACAATACATATTTCAAGTTTAACTTGGGCTACATAACCAGATCCTATCTCAAAATCAAACCAAACAAAAAGTTATATTAAATTCATATTAAAATGGATTAAATATAATGTATTTAATGTTCTTTATTTAAAAATTATTTTGTAAAGCAAGGTGATGGTGGTGCATGCCTTTAATCCCAGCACTCAGGAGGCAGAAGCAGGCGGATCTCTGTGAGTTCGAGGACAGCCTGGTCTACAGAGTAAGTTCCAGGACAGCTAGGACTACACAAAGAAACCCTGTATTTAAAAGCCAAAAAAGAAAAAAAAGGAAGTAAAATGATTTTGTGGAACAATATCTTTCAGAACTATGAATTATTGTCTTTAAGAAGTTCATAAAGCTAAATTTTTAAAGACAAAATTCCTTAAATGGAGGTATTTCTATGCTAAAACAAAAAAAGTCTAACTATACAGCCCTCATTTGCCTAGAATTCTGTATATAAGCCAGACTGGCCTTGAACTCATGATTCTGCTCTAGAACACTGGGATTAAAAGTGAGTACCACCATGCCCAGCAAACTGGGATGTTCTTGTGGGTTGTTTTTTAGGCAGGGCCTCATTCTGTGACCCTAGGTGGCATGAAACTTTCAAGTAAACCAGGCTGATCTCAACTTGCCTTGACCTTCCTCCTGCCTCTGCCTTCCAGGTGCTGGAGTTAGAGGTATATGTCATCATGCCTCCCTTAAGTTGGGGCATTCTTGTTCAAATACCTTTAGCCAAAGAAAAACTAATGTTGCAATCCCATAATCAATGGAAATAAAGTGCATTTTTTTTGAGACAGGGCTGTTCTCTGTATAACCCAGGCTGTCCTAGAACTCACTCTGAATTGCCTTGAACTCAGAGATCTGCCTGCCTCTACCTCCTGAGTACTGAGATTAAAGGTGGGCGCCACCACCACCCAGTAGAAACAATATATTTTCAAAACTGTTCTACCTTGATGTTCAGTTACTTCAGATGAGACCTGAAAGAGATGAGCTGCCAACACAGATGAACATTAATTTGGAGGGCTGAAAGTACAGTGACAGATGAAGCCTATTTAGTAGACTTTGAAGTCACATTTCTCAGCAGGTGGGAATACAGGCCGTCTGTCTCTGGGCTGTTATCCCTCTGGCTACCAGACAGAGTTACTCTGTTTAAAGAGACAGTTTCTAGGCTTTCCCTTATCTTTCAGTCCCAGTTCACTCAGCCTGCAATGTTTCCACGCCTGCTCTTTCATTTTTGTTTCTTAACCTTATAACACCTCAGAGAAATAGATACAGCAAGTATTTTTTTTTTTACCACCATATTACAAACAGGGAAACCAAAACTCAGAAATCATATAACTTGTCCAAAGTGAGTTTTGCTTATCTTCAAACATTTGCTTGTTACTATTTAAGAGAACTGACTGGAGCCAGGTATGGTGGCCAACACTGTTTCCCAGTTAAACTGAAACCAAGGACCACTGTTTCTCCTGTAATTTGTTGTATAATGACTTGTTGGGGAAGTCCTGTGTATATGTCAATAAAGCACTGTTGGCCAATAGGGAAGTAAGATAGGTGGGACTAGGAGTCGAGGAGGACTCTGGGTAGGAGAAACACAGGGAGTCAAGATGTAATCTCGAAAGGGATAAGAAGCCCGGGGAAATTTCTCCGGTAAGAGAAATACTTAGATTAGCAATTATGGGGTAAATACTTAAGTCAGAGCTAGCCAGTAAGAAACAAGCAAGGCCAACAGTTTCATTATTATTATAGCCCCCTGTGTGTTCATTTGGGACTGATGCGGCTCTGGAACCAGGCTGGCGGGAAGGCTTCCCTTTACAATGACTGGTACTGAAAACTGCCAAAGCCTGATTGTTCCCCTCTACACAACTGTTAAAACTGTCATTCTATTGTTTTGCTTGTCATGTTATTCAATATCTATGAAGATTAACAACAACAAATGGCGATTTAAAGGGACTTAAGATGTGTAAGAGCAATTTAGAGCTAGGTAGTGGTAGCACACACCTTTAATCATAGCACTTGGGAGGCAAAGGCAGAAGGATCTCTGTGAGTTCAAGGCCAGCCTGGTCTATAGAGCGAGTTCCAGGAAAGCCAGGGCTACCCAGAGAAACCTTGTCTCAAAAACAAAACAAAACAAAACAAAACAAGCAATTTAGAAAATTATAAGAAATGATGCAAAATGTAATAAGGGCCCACAAGATGGCCCGGAAGATGAAGATGCTTGCTGCCCAGTGATCCAAACCTGACTACTTGAGTTTGAGCTCCAGCACCCAAATACATATAGAAGGAGAGAACCACCTTCACAAAGCTGTCCTCTGACTTCCACATGGACACCCTGGCATGCACCTTCCCAGTAAATAATACAATTTCAAATGGAATAGTAGACTAGGTTTGGTGTCACACCTATAACCTCAGGAGTTGGGAAGGCAGGAATCTCACTCATGTTTGAGGCCAGTCTGGCTACATAGTGAGTTTGAGGCCAGTCTGGGTTACATAGCCACACCATCTTTTAAATAGAAGAGGAAATAGTCACCACCGTCTGAATTGGATTAAGTCCATTCTGTAAGCTGGTGGAGTTGAGTGCAGACTACAGCCAGAATTCATCAGCTCTTCCTCACTTCTATCCCTAGCCGAATCTCCTCACCTCCCATCTGCTGTCTACAAAATCTGCTGCCACCACCCAGGTCATTATGCCTCTACCCTTGTCCCACAATGCTCCATTCTTGACACAGCAGTTCAGTGAGTGGTCAATTATAAATGAAGCTTAGCTGGGCATGGTGGCTCACACTTGCAATCCTGGCACTTAAGAAGCTGAGGCAGGACTGCTGTGAGTTGGAAGCCAGGCTAGGATACAGAGTGAGACTCTGTCTCAAAAAAAAGAAAGAAAGAAAGAAAGAAAGAGAAATAATCCCTGCCCACAAAAGGTCAATCTTGATCAAAACCTTGCAACAGATCCTTATCTCCAAAGCCCTGAACTTGGCACACAGAGCCTAGATCCCTATATCCTCTCAAACCTCATCCCCTCCCTTGCTCTCCTCCATGCTGGCTACTGGCTCCCTCACAGCTTCCCTACAACTGTAACCTTCAGACACACTGTGAGTTGGGGGTTTCACTACCACTGTCTCCTCTAAGTTACTTCCCTCAAGTTTTGGCTCAGTTCTAACCTCAGAGAGGCTTGGCCTATATTGCAGGTTGCCCAACTATTACCTATGAACTCCTCAAACTACTTTATCTTGCAAGAATTTTTTATGTTTATTTGTTTGGTTGGTTGGTTGGGTTTTTTGTTTTGTTTTATTTTGTTTTTGAGACAAGGTTTCTCTGTGTAGCACTAGCTATATTGGAACTTGCTCTATAGACCAGGCTAGCCTCAAACTCAGAGATCCTCCTGCCTCTGCTGGGATTAAAGGCATGTACCAACACTGCCTGGCTGGTTTGGGTTTTTAAAGATTTTTTAAAATATGTGTGTATGTATGCATGCCTGCATGTATGTATATCACATATATATGGATGCCAACAGAGGCTAGCAGACGGCATTGGATCCCCTGGAACTGAAGTTATAGATGCTTATGTGTGGCCTGACATGGTGCTGGGAACCAAACCCAGGTCCTCTGCAAAAGCAGTAAGTGCTCTTAACCACTGAGCCATCTCTCCCATTCCTGTTCTTGGCTTTTAAGAGTCTCACATTATGTAGCTCAGACTGGCTAGGAACTTGCTAGTTACCCAAGAATAGCTTTGAACTCCTGGTAATCCTCCAACTCAGCTTCACCAATGCTGGGATTACAGGTATGAGCTACCATGACTGCTTCTTGTTCTAGATTGATGGATGAATGGATTGATTGATTGATGTTTTTGAGAGTCTCTCTCCTTGTGGCCCTGGCTATCCTGGAATTCACTATGTAGACCAGGCTGACCTCTGCCTCCTGAGTGCTGGGATCAAAGGCATGTGCCACTATGCCCAGCTCTAGTTTTATTTAAGTAGCACTTACCCTAATATATACCTTTTTTGTTTTTGTTTTTGGGTGGGTGGGATCCTGCTATTTAGCTGTGGCTGGCTTGTTACTCACTATGTAGCCCATGTGGACCTTGAACTCAATGTTATCTTCCTGCCTCAGTCTCCTAAATGTTGGGACTATAGGCAGGTGCCACTATACCCAACCATAAAATATATGATAGTCATTGCTGTCTCTGCTTCCTGTGTCCTGACATTTTTGTTTGTTCTCTTGTTATTATGAATCCAACTGATATAAAATACTGTGGCAGTGCCTGGCATATAAGACACTGGATTTATTTTATTTTATTTATTTATTATGTATACAGTCTTCTGCCTACACGAAGAAGGCACCAGATCTCATTCAAGGTGGTTGTGAGCCACCATATGGTTGCTGGGAATTGAACTCAGGACCTCTGGAAAAACAGTCAGTGCTCTTAACCTCTGAGCCATCTCTCCAGCCCAAGACACTGGATTTTTAACATTAATGAAACTGAGGAGAACAGGAAGCTGGGTGCCTTTCCATTTTCTATTTCCTCTTGATTTCTCCACTGTCTCCAGAGTAGTTGACTGGGCTCCACTAAATAGACCTACAACAGTCATTCAGGCAAATGCATTTCACGTTCTTCCCTGGACTTTGCAACCACCTCTATTAATGGATGAAACTCTCAGTTGTGTTACATCCTCCACCTTTATGATGATGATGATGATGATGATGATGATGATGATGATGATGACTTGACGAAGGATAGGCAAGCAAGATATGGTTCGTTCCTTCCCTCTAATTATAGTCAAAGGACCCCTGGGGATTTTTATCCATGTCTCTTCTTAGTATTCCTGGCCTCATCTATTCCTGGCATTATTCTGCCTACCCCTAAAACATATGAACATACAGGTCAGTGGGGTCACAGTTAGAAATGTAGTATGAAGTGAGTAGAGCTAGGATTTTTTTTTTTTTGGTTTTTCGAGACAGGGTTTCTCTGTGGCTTTGGAGGCTGTCCTGGAACTAGCTCTTGTAGACCAGGCTGGCCTCGAACTCACAGAGATCCACCTGCCTCTGCCTCCCGAGTGCTGGGATTAAAGGCGTGCGCCACCAACGTCTGGCTCAGAGCTAGGATTTTGTCAGGTAAAACCAAAGCAGGATGATGTTGTCACACTGTTGTCTATCTGTTGCTTCTTTTTGTTCTATAGTTTTCTTACCGGGGATCTCTCAATGCAAGCTCTACCCAGTGAAGGACAGATCTGCTTCATCAGAGATGGTGCCCATCACTACCACCTCCATAACTCTTAGAAGTAAACGAGAGGAAACTACAAGCACTGGGGACTTTTCCAACCCTTTGTCACAAGGTACAAACTAAGTATAAAGTCTTTAAAATGGTAATCCCTTACCCCATGAAAGTGAACTCACCCTGTAGCCAGATTTGAAAAACATGAACTAAATTCAACTGGTACACGATACCAGCCGTGTGTGTGTGTGTGTGTGTGTGTGTGTGTGTGTGTGTGTGTGTGTGTGTATGTGTTTACAAAGATGACACCAACCAACCACAAGTTTTCATCTTCACTGTTTTTAAAAATTGCCTTTCCTAAATTGGCCAAGACTCAAACTGTGTAAGATTCAAGTTTGGGTTATATCCCAGGTTCATAGCAGTGGAAAAGTAAATGAGATTAGTAATAACATAATAGATATAAGCCTTCTGCCCTGGATTTGGCTTATGATTCAAAAGCAATCACAATTCATTTTTGTTCTTCCTATACACTCCAAAATCCAGGAAAGGTAATTTTTGTTTTTATTTCTTTTTGAGACAGGGTCTCACTATGTAGCTCTAGCTAACCTGGAACTCATTAAATAGATCAGGCTGGCCTTGGATTTAGAGACAGACCTGACTGCCTCTGCCTCCTGAGTGGTAGGATGAAAGGCATGTGCCACGCCACCAGGCCTGAAATAAAGGGGATTTCTGTGTGCTTGTTTGTATTTGTTTCTATTTTTTCAGTGCTAGAGATGGAGATATGACTTTTGTTTTAAGGTTGAGAACGTCAAGAAGACTGACTAGGAACAATGGGTTAAGTACCCCCTTGTGCACCCAAGCCTTTTCTTCTCAGGAACAGTACAAGAGTCAGCATGCATGACTATGGAGAATCCCAAATTCTAGGGAAGGTGGCTCTTTCATGAAAGAAGCTAGTGAAGAGTCCATGCTGCCACCCCACCTGATTCCCAGCCCCAGGTGGAAATCTAGCCTCTGTCTGAGTCAGATGTCCTGGTTAGTCTGAGCAAGGAGAACTTGTAGTCAAGGTGAGCCCTGCTCCCGTTCTTTTTTCTTCTCCTCCGTCCCTCTTTCCTTTCAGACACAGATGCATCCTTAAAGAAGAGGCAGAAATGGAGCACTGTCATCAAAGTTCTGACTGCTGCTACTCTGCTGCTCAGCGGAGTCATCATTATAGTATTTGTCATCTTTGAAGTCCCATGTCCAGTAAGTTTGCTGATGTACACTGATGAACCTGGTCCCTGGCTTGATCAATAAAGACTGCTTTCTGCTGGAAACGCAGCATAGCATAAGGAAAGCAAACACTAGCTGAGTGGTTTGTGGAAAGCTGCTTGACTTCTCCATTCTACAGCTGCCTTATCTGTAAAATAGATGTTGCCTTGCTTGTGGCTGTGGAAATTAACGAGGATCCCATTTGAGAGGCACCTGGTACATCAAAGGTGCTCTCTTAATGCGAGCTCCTAGGAAGTGTAGTTCTAGTGTCTTCTTAGAGATGAGCATTTTTTTCTAGAATCCTAGCACTTGGAAGGTGAGGAGCAGACCGGGATTTCCAGGCTGGCCTTGTCTATATTGCAAAGTTGAAACCAGTCAGGTTACATGAGAGAAAGATGGGTGGAAGGGGGAGTGTAAGGAGACAAGTATTATGTCTTTTAAATGGCTTGACATTGAATTCATCAAGGATAACCAGCCATTCTCTCTTCAGAGTCCATGTCTCAGAAGGTTGTGCCCATGCCAATGGTTATGGAGAAGGGAAAGGAAAGAAGACCAGCAACCTGGGACAACTGAGTCCCAGCTGGGCTCTCAGCCTGAGAAGGGAAGTATTCTCTGCATAGTTAATGCCATTTGTTTAGACAAAACAATGTTAACCTGTAATTGGTGATATGTAGTCAAATGCTTCAGTTGTAAAGCAAATGTGATGAATTATTCTGTGAAAAAAAAAAAAACTGGCCAGATGTGATACCACACAACTTACACCAACACTCAGGAGGCAGAATCAGAGGCAGGCAGATCTCTATGAGTTCAGGCCAGCCTGGTATACATAGTGAGTTCCAGGCCAGCCAAAAAACAAACAAACAAAATGAAGAAAAAAAAACCACATTGTGATTCCCAGTATTCTTGGACCCAGATACACTGGATCAGAATGTTTAATGTCTAGAGTTGGACCTGGGGCCTTATTATCATTACTATTATTCAGATGGGTTCTCACTATGTTGCCCAGACTAGCCTTAAATTTTTTACTGCAGGTCATCCTCCTGTCTCAGTTTTCCAAGAAGCTTGGACTACAGGTTTATGCTACTATCATGCTCATCCTATTATTAAAATTTTTAATAAGCTCCCTAAGGGGGCTGAAGAGGTGGCTCAGAAGTTAAAAGCAGTTCTTAGCACCCACACAGAGTGGCTCACAACTACATTGTAACTCCAGTTCCATGGGTTACAATGCCCTCTTCTGGCCTCCTTGGGTCCACATATGGTGTACACACAGGCAAGCAGCCATCTATACATAAACTACAAGCCCTACAAGTAGAGGTGGATTTATTGTGAAATTACTAATACTTCAGGTCCCATGGACCTTGTCCAAGGTTTGTATCTAATATTGTAGGTTTTATTTTTTTTTGCTTTGTTTTGTTTTTTGTTTCTTTCTGAGACAGGGTTTCTTTGTGTAGCACTGGCTGTCCTGGAACTTACTCTGTAGACCAGACTGGCCTGGAACTCGGAGGTTCACCTGCCTCTACTTTCTGAGTGCTGGGATGAAAGGTGTGTGCCTTTCCTTAGGTTCCTCCTAATTGTAAGATCTTTAGCATTATAACATGTGTTCACCCTGGGTAATTCTCAGATACAGCAACGTTTAGGATCCACTGCACTTCAACCCAGTTTAAAAACTTGGCAAAGCAACCTTCTTTTTCCTTATCTTTGGGTTTCCTGACAAGATTATAAATAGTGCCTTTTGGTGTCTGAGCTGTTACCACAGGGCTGATTCACCAGATTGCCTTTAATCCAGACTCCAAGCCAGGTTAGACTGTTTTGGGACAGTAGAAAGTGGTAAGTGGGCACTTTCCCTAAGACATCCAAACACTCACTAAGGTAAGCAGACAAGACTGCCATTGACCTGGTTCAAAGTCTCAGTCGGGTCACCACAGTAAGACTGTCTCAAAAACAAAGTAAACCATCAAACAGACAGCCATACCCCACGAACTAAACTAAACAAGGTGTCCATTTTTGTAGAATTATAGCATGGAGAACTGCTCTCAGAGATGATATAGTAGATGGGTTTGATCCCCCAGCACAATCACCAACACACAGCATGCATGTGTGTGCACACACACACACAGTCTAAGATGGTACACTTGCTTCTATTCTTTTTAAGCCTTATCAACCACACAGAATAGCAACCAAGAACAGTACCTGCAGCCTAGAAACAGACTCTTTCTTATCACATATTCAATCAAGTGAACTTATTTACTTATTTGTTCTCTTGGGGCTAGGTTAGTATTTTCTAATTTTATGAATATGGATTTTGTCTATATGTATGAATGTATGTGCACCAAGTTCATGACTGGTGGCCATGGAGGCCAAAAGAGGTGTTAAGATTCATGAAACTGGGATTACAAATGGTTGTAAGCCATCATGTGGGTTCTGGGTATTAAACCTGGGTCCCCTGGAAGAGCAGCCAGTGCTCTTAAGCACTGAGCCATCTCTCCAGTCCTTAGATTAATACTTCTATAATCCTGATTCTTCAAATAGTAGATGATGGATTCATATTTTTAGATTTTTATTCCAATCATCATTGTCATTTCTACTGAACATTAAAAGAAATGGGTTTGGTCAGGTGTGATGACACAGGCCTTTAATTCCAGCACTTGGGAGGCAGAGGCATGTGCATCTCTATGAACTCAAGACCAGCCTGGTCTACAAGTAAGTTTCAGGACATCCAGGGCTACACAAAGAAACCCTGTATCATAAAAACAAAACAAAACAAACAAACAAAAACAAAACAAAGCAAAATACCTTTAGAACTAGCATTGTAGCACATACCTGCAATCCTAGCACTTTGGATGTAGAAGCAGGAGAGTCAAGAATTCAAGGCCAGCCTGGGCTACATGAGGCCTTGTCTCAAAAATGAACAAGGCAAAACAACACAAAAGTTAGTACACGGTGGTACATGCCTGAAATCCAGCACTTGTAGGCTAAGGCAGGAGGACTGATATAAATTCAAGTCCAGTCTGGTTTATAAAGTAAGTTCTAAGCAGCCAAATTTACTTAGTGAAATCCCATCTAAAAGGGGTGGGATTGCCAAAGAGATGGCTCAGTGGGTAAGAGTACTTGTTGTAGCCGGGCGTTGGTGGCGCACGCCTTTAATCCCAGCACTTGGGAGGCAGAGGCAGGCGGATCTCTGTGAGTTCGAGGCCAGCCTGGTCTACAAGAGCTAGTTCCAGGACAGCCTCCAAAGCCACAGAAGAAACCCTGTCTCGAAAAACCAAAAAAAAAAAAAAAAAAAAAAAAAAGAGTACTTGTTGTTCTTCCAAAGGACCAGGATTTGATTCTTAGCACCCACCTGGTGGCCCCCAACTGGAACAACTCCAGTTGCAAGGGTTCCACCACCCTCTTCTGGTCTCTTCAGGCATCAAACACACACATGGTGCACACACCTATAAATACCTATAAACAAAATTCAAACAAAACAGTGTTATGTTCATAATAACTGGGCATTCAGAAAGTGCATACAAAATTTGATAGGACACAAACTCAAATACAGTAAGGGTGGAACTGGATTATTTGAAATATTTAAGCCAGGTGTGTGTGAAGGCTTCAAGGATTGGCCTAACTGGGTGACGAGGGAGTGTAAGAAGGACAGGCATACATAGAGAAAGACTGGGATCAGCTGGGCCATGCTCATTCTGATGGAGAGAGCACCAACTGCTGCCCAGAACATCTGCTCATTTATTTTATACACCTGGATGAAGGAGGCAGGTTTACTGTATACAGCCAAATAAGGAAGTGGGCTCATGGTCTACAACTGAACAAGGAGGCCAGTTTAACTCATCCCATAGGAAGTCTCTGGAGGGGAGAAGTCCCAGGCTGCAGTCATCCAGGAGGATGAAGCTGTGGTTTCTAGTTTTTGCACACACTGGGCAATCATTTGTAAACACTGGTACTTGGACCAGATGAAGGCTTTGCCATTTCTCTGAGCCTCACCAGGGAAGGCTTCCCACTCCCCTGGGTCTGAGGCATTGGGGCCATTGGCTGTGCCCATGTTAACAATACACATTCACTCAGGACTTCATCCACTCCCCACAAGTGTGGTGGCACACACCTCTATTCCCAGCACTTGGGTGATGGAGGCAGGAAGAGCAGGAGTTCAAGGCCTTCTCCACTACCAAGTGAGGCAGCTTGCTATACAAGAGACATTGTTTCAAAAATAAATATTCAGTCAGACCCTAAGATTTCTTTCTAAATACTCTTCAAAACAATGAGATCCTTTGGGTTTGATTCAAGCAATTAAGTGGAATTCCTGTGTATATGAGATCTAAAGCAGCAGCACACTCAGGGCCTGGTCAAGACATGGGCAGCGAGCACTCTTGTGGCTTACAGGTTCTCGGCTCATGAGCATGGTGTTCATGCATTCTCAGAACAATGGTTAGGCAGCAAAGAGGCAAGCTCAGGTGTACTTAATTTAAGTGGGGTTTTCTCCTCAGCGATCCCTTGCTGATTGGTTCATTTGCACACTTACTTACCTTTCACATGCCCTTTCCATCTCTAGGTTGGAAAAGATGTTCCTAACTCTTCAGACTCATAGAAAACCACAGGGGTCACTATAATCCAGCAGGCATACTTCTGAGTTCTGCTTTGCCTCACTCTGAATGCTAGTGCTGTCTTCTACACCGCCGTCTCCTTATTGCAAACCATTACAGGATGACTCTTGAAGCCCTTACACGCAAATCTTCACAGGGACATTATAATCAAACGATATGACAGGACAGTGAAGGAAGACCCTGGGCCGCCCTCATGCCACTGCAACTGAGGCAGGCATAAGCCTCTGTGATTCACTTTGTACATCCATAAAAATGGGGTCATCTTTCCACCCCAGCAAAAGAAGACAGAGTCCCTGCCTCCAAGTGTTACGGGTGGACCTCACTGCCTTCTCTGATGAAAGACAAAGCACAGCCTCCAAGAAGTAGAGCCAACAGTGTGGCACAAATCCCACCTACTCGGTTGTCCTCCCAGCTTTCTTCATGATCACTGGCTGTCAACAGCTTACACCGGGGCTTCTGCTTTCCCAGGCTTACAATGTAATGATTTAGCCTGTCACTACACATAGTTATCAACGAACTGGTAAAGGGAACCCAGCCTTAAGCATCCCAACAGCCCTTCTAATAAGTCATTCCTGAAGAGTTTCAGGACAGCAGGAAAAAAGCATTCAAATAAAATTGGATCTCTGTGAGTTCGAGGCCAGCCTGGTCTACAGAGTGAGTTCCAGGACAGCCTCTAAAGCCACAGAGAAACCTTGTCTCACAAAACCAAAAAAAAATAAAATTGGAAAATTTAGATTTCCTAAAGGATATCTGATGTAATGCTTTTTTTTTTCTTTTCTGGTACTGTGATTTAGACCAAGGTTCTCACACTGCAAGTGTTACGCCACTGAGGTATATATTAAGCCTTTTTGTAAAAGTAACTTTTGAGGTAGGTTCTCACCAGGTTACCCAGAGCCTGGAACTCTGTGTGGGCCTTGAACTTTCAAGAACTTTGCTTCAGCCTCCAAGAGGAGCTGGCAATACAACTGTGCACCACCAGGCCTGGATATGCCTTATTTAATTTTTCATTTTTTGAGACAGGTTTTTATGTAGGTAGCCCAGGCTGACCTCAAGCTGAGGATCACCTTGAATTCCCAACCTTCCTGTCTCTACCTCCTGGGTAGGCAGTATTTTACCAATGAGCTGAATGTGCTTTTGATAAGGACTCCAGAACAAGTGATTCTGACAATGATCCCACTCACAGGAGCACAGCAATTAAGTAGAGTCTGACCTGCTTAAATAGATCTCAGTGAGAAAGCAGAACTAGGGACTGAGCAGCTGACATAGTGAATGAAACCCTGCTTCTTTCCCAAGAGTGTGAAACCATTCCAACTGCAAAATGTTCCAACTTCCTTCATGTACATATTATTCCATATATAAATATATATTTCATGTATCCCAGGCTAGCATTGAACTCCATACACATTCCAGGATGGCTTTCAGCTCATGATCCTCCTGTCTCCCACTTCCCATGCACTGGAATTACAGGCATGTGTCACCAGGCCTGGCACATAATTCTGTTTTCTTAGTTCTCTGAGGAAACTGTACACAAAGTCTAATCTTCCTCCTTTCACATCAAGTACTGTTCCAAACAGGAATCTTGAAAGTTCGTTAACTAAGCAGGGGGACAAGCTGATCCAGGAGGAAAGGACAAACAAATGGGGACTCAGAGTCTCCTGGAAGAGCTGAAGAACCTCCCAAATCCCACAGAACTCAGTTTCAGCACACAGCAGAAATGGAACAAAGGACTATGCAAGGTGTTGGAGTGAGGGTGGATCAATTGTACACCACTGATGACTCAAAACACTTCCTCAAGTTTATCCAGACACCTGCTACTTTGCTTGACCATATACTTGAGCAAAAAAGTAACTGTTCTTCCCCAGGTCTAGTAGGGGAAGTTATTAAAAAGCTTCTATTTGATTCTAGGATTAATGACAACATCCATCCCTGTCCTCATCCACAACAGAATGTCCTATAACCCAGAAACATGAGATTTCTGAGAAGATGAAAACCATGGCTGAGCCTGTGCTCTTCTGCAAGAGTGAAATTAGGGAACAACTGTGCTGATTTTCTTCATGGAAACTTACATGATCAAAATTATGCATTTTGTCTAGAGACTGTTGTTTTCCCTGGCAAAAGCAAGAATTTTCTGAGCATCAGTCAACACTTTCCAATCCCTTCCCCAGTGGAGGGAGGATTTTGGAAACTAGGAGATGAGAGGAGGAGGAGGAGAGGGCCTTCCTGCCTGAACTTTGGAATGTGGACTTCAGTCTGCAGATTGCTCCAGAGTCAGACACAAATGCTCAGGTCATCACTCTGGATGACACTCTATAAAACACTTCAGTGCAACTGCCAAAGAGTCTTGTGCCAATTGCCAAGAATCTGCTGCAAATTCTCTCTCATTAAAATATCATATTTCCTGATTACCAAAGTGCATTTATTATTAAAATTTCTATCAAACAATGGAAAATGGTCGGGTGTTGGTGGTGCACACCTATAATCCCAGCACTTGGGAGGCAGAGGCAGGTGGTTCTCTGTGAGTTCGAGGCCAGCCTGGTCTACAAAAAAATATAAGAATAAAAGTTATATTTAGTCTCCCACGGGTAACCAATAACATTGATACTTCTTTTATAGGCATGATAAATATATGTGCATATGATGAGACATATATTGCACAGCATAATACTCTCCATGTTACTTTTAACATGATGCCCTTTTTCCACTAATACATTACTGTCATATTTCCACTTGGCACATTCATTTCCTTGTGTTTATTTTCAGTTTTATTTTATTTTATTTTATTTTATTTTTTTCGAGACAGGGTTTCTCTGTGGCTTTGGAGGCTGTCCTGGAACTCGCTTGGTAGTCCAGGCTGGTCTCAAACTCACAGAGATCCGCCTGCCTCTGCCTCCCGAGTGCTGGGATTAAAGGCGTGCGCCACCAACGCCCGGCCCTTATTTTCAGTTTTAAAGGGAGCTAGAACTCTTTCTTTTTGAAGGACCTGCATGACCCTGAGACCTTTTGTTTTGCTACACAAGGACTCATATAGCCCGGCTAGCTCTGAGTTCACAATGCAGCTGAGGGTGATCTTGAATTTCTGATTTTTCTCCCTCTAGCTCTTAAGACTAGGGTTATAAGTGTGCACCACCCCACCTGGCCAATATCCCAATACAGTACTTTTCCCCCCTCTCTCTCTCACTCGGTGGCCCAGACTGCTCTGAACTTACTATGTATGCTAGACTGTCAGGGTCCTCTTGCCTCAGCTTCCCAAAGGCTGAGATTACAGGCATGAACCCCCTGCTCAGCTTCCCAGTACTTTTGGATAGGTCCAAAGATTAAGGCAGATAGTTGCTTGGTGCAAACAAGACAAGTTCACAAAAACCTCCACTTTGAACTTTTGAAGCTATTGCTTAATGACTGGGTAAACATCTGTATTTATGGGGTGTTAAGAGGATTACTTTGAAGCCAGGCATGATAGTTCATACCTGTAATCCTAGCATCCAGAAAGCTAAGGCAGGAAGATTGCCATCTTTTCCTCCAGGCCAGCATGGACTACATAGTAAGTTCTCTGTCAGCCTTGGCTACAGAGTAAAACCTCGCCTCAAAAAAAAATTTACTTTTAGAGAGAGTAATGGAATGTAAACAACTGAAAGCAGAAATGGGAACTACTTTGAAGAATAAAGAGGTCAGTGGGGTAAAAGAATAAGATTCAAGTGTAATACTTACATATGACAATGTCATAGCAAAACCCATTTTTTAATATGCTAAGCAAACGATAGAAAATAAGAAGGGCTACTAGGGAGGTTCTTTCCCCTAAAAGCACATTATTTTGTTAAATAACATAACTATAAAAATATAAAGGGCTACAAAGATTGATACTTTCCCAGATGAACTGAGTTTCGGTCCTCGAACCCATACCAGGCAGCTCATAGCCATCTGGAACTCTAGTTCCAAAGGACCTAACACCCTCTTCTGACTTCCACAGGTACAGACACATATGTGGCATTTCCTCATACAGATCCCTCCCAATACATACACATAAATTAAATAACAAAAATAAATCTAAAAATATTAGCACTTAAAAATATACGGCATATATACATATATATATATATATACATACATACATACATTCTGCCATTTCTCCACTTTTAGATTTCTTTAATGTGCACATGTGTTTTGTCTTCCAGTATGTATATGCACCATGTGTACGTCTGGTGCCTTTGGTGGTGAGCTGACACGGGGGTGCTGGGAACTGAACTCTACAAGAGCAACAAGTGCTCTTTGCTGTAGCTCACCAGTCCCCATTTCTTTATTACTATTATTATTATTACTATTTTAGCTATAGCAGTGACCAAATCAGAATTGAACAAGCTTGCTGTGGTGGCACCTGCTTGTAATCCCCTTACTCAGGCAACTGAGTAAAAAGACTTGACATGAGTTTGAAGCCAGCCTGAGCTACATAATGAGCTCAAAATTAGCGTGTGCAGTATATATATAGAAAAACAAAAACAAAAAATGAAACTGATGTAGGATTCTGGATATCTGGAACTTCTGAGCAAACATTACCATTCCTCCTTTCCTGCACCCTAAAGCTATGCCAGGGTGGGCTTAGGAACAACAGCAGCCCTAACCACTCTCTACCTCCACTTCTGATTTTGGACGCTCCTTAAACACTACCCAGAGGATTCTGACCTAAAATGTTTCCCCGGTGTTTAGATTCAGCTATTTTCCAAGAGGCGTTACTTAAGACAAGGAGCCACAAACCCTTTACACATTTGCCTAAGACAGGTTAAGAGTCTATGTTCCCCCTCCCCTCCCACTCTCAGAATTTCATTCGTGAGTTCACACAATGGCTCTTGTGTTTTCTTGAGGACTTGCTAGTTCTCTTACCAAGTGTACTTCCTGGTTCTTGTCCTTAAAGTCTGTAATCCTTGTACGAATTTGTGTGTGTGTGTGTGTGTGTGTGTGTGTGTGTGTGTGTGTGTGTGTGTGTGTAATGTTTTTTCTTGAGGCAGGCTTTCTCTGTGTGTAGCCCTGGCTGTCCTGGAACTTTTGACCAGGCTAGCCTTGAACTCACAGAGATCTGCCTGCCTCTGCCTCCCAAGTGCTGGTATTAAAGGTGTGAGTCACCACCATTGTGTATCTTTATATTGCTTTGTGTTAATAAAGCATCATATTTATAGTAAACACTCAAATTACATGTTGATGTCCCATCACTGAATGGAGGGTTACAGGAGGCAAAACTCAGTTTTGTTTTTGTTTTTTTCCCAGTAAAGGAGATGGTTCCCAGGCCTGGTATGGACCACATGGTGCTCTACTACTGATTTATATCTCCAGCCCTTTTTTTGGGGGGGGGTTCGAGACAGGGTTTCTCTGTGGCTTTGGAGGCTGTTCTGGAACTAGCTCTTGTAGACCAGGCTGGTCTCAAACTCACAAAGATCCTCCTGCCTCTGCCTCCTGAGTGCTGGGATTAAAGGCATGTGTACCACCACTGCCTAGCCTCTTTTTTGTTTTTATTTTTTGAAACACAGACTAACTTGCCCAGGATGACTTTGAACTTGTGATCTTCCCACCTCTTGTACCTTAGTAGCTGAGATTAAAATCCTGTGACACCAAGCCTGACTGCATGACTCCTTTTGTACAAGAGAATCGGGTGTTCTTCATTTTCACATAAAAGCTGCTATTTTTTTTATTAAAGATTTATTTATTTTTAAATGTGTGTGAGCACATGTGTATACAGTGCCCACAGAGGATGGGGTATCTGGTGCTTCTGAAGCTGGGGTTACAGAAGGTTGGAACCTCCCTTACATGGATGCTGGGACCCAAACTCAAGTCCTCTGCAAGAGTAGTACCCCCTTAACCACTGAGCTCTCTCCAGCCCCAAGCTTCTATTGGTTTCTTTGGACAAGGAGAATCAAAGAGGGCCTATACTGCAATGCTTGGTGAAACTTGAATTACTCTCTCTCTCTCTGTTTATTATTTGTTATATTATTACTACTACTACTTTAAGAATTTGAGATGGGCCGGGCGGTGGTGGCGCACGCCTTTAATCCCAGCACTCGGGAGGCAGAGGCAGGCGGATCTCTGTGAGTTCGAGGCCAGGTTGGACCGACAGCCTCCAAAACAATACAGAGAAACCCTGTCTCGTAAAACCAAAAAAAAAAAAAAAAAAAAAAAAAAGAATTTGAGATAGGTCTCACTATGTAGCTATGGCTGGCCTGGAACTCACTATTATCATGTAGACCAGGCAGACCTTAAGTTCCTAGATAGTCACCTGCTTTTGCCTCCCAAGTGCTGGGATTACATGTGTGTGCCTCCACACCGAGCAAGTTCATCTCTCATTTCATATTCATTTGTTGTTATTATTTAATGTGTGTGTACACTTGTGTGTGCCTGTGTGTAGAAATGGGAGGACAGCCTCAGGTAGCATCCTGAAGAATGCTGTCAATCTCTTTTGAAACATGAAGCTTACTTACTAATTGGGCTGGCTGGGGAGCCCCGATATTCCCGTCTCTACCTCCCCAGCAGTGATTACAATCTTACACTAACAAACCCATTTTTTCATGTGAGTACTGAGGACCAAGCTCAGATTCTCAAGCTTGCAATGTGCTGTATAAGTCATCCCTCTATCAGAATTTGTGGTTTTGAGACATAGTCCCATATAGTTGAGGCTAACCTTGAACTTTCCATCTTCTTGTCCAGTTTACAGTGTTGAAGATGAAGTAGAGTTCTACAGTCACTCTACCCACTAAGCTTCAATTCCAGCTCTGTTTGGTTTTTGCTTTTCTGTTGGTCTACTTATTTGTTTTTAGGACAATTTCTCTAGCCCAGACTAAACTGAATTCACGTTTGTAGCCCAGCCTGGCCTAGAAGTCATAACTAGTATTCCTGCCTCAGTTTCCCATGTGCTGGGATTATAGGCAAGAGTTACCACACTTAGCTAATTTTACATCTTCCCTCTCAGATTTCTATATCTCGTCACTTCCTCCTTCCTTCCAATATGCATTTTTTTTTTTTTTTTGGTTTTTCGAGACAGGGTTTCTCTGTATTGTTTTGGAGGCTGTCCTGGAACTCGCTTTGTAGACCAGGATCGCCTCGAACTCACAGAGATCCGCCTGCCTCTGCCTCCCGAGTGCTGGGATTAAAGGTGTGCGCCACCAACACCTGGCCCCAATATGCATTTTTTACTTTATTTTTATCTGTGTCTTTCACAGTATGCATCTCAATTCCATTCATTTCCCTGGCCCTTTGTATCTGCCCTCTGCCCTTGCAATACCCCTGAAAAATAGAATAAAATAAAATTCAAGAGAAAAAAGGAAAAATCAAATCATAGAAGCTGGAAGCTGTAATGTGACACAGTGAATCGGGTACTAAACTTTTATCCATATATCTTCACTTGCAAGAGTCCGTTGCAATGGGT